TCATATGTTTACCTCACCAGAAGACGATGGCTGATCCTCGTTTTTGACTTTTATACGACTTTTAAGTTGAATCAGTCCATGGGACATCCTCCCTGATTTTGGGTGAAAACGGACGGAGCTTTCCTCAATTGTTTGATGGGCAACATCATAGCTGGAACTTATACTTGACACATACCTGGTCTCGTGTCATCTGCCAGGTTATTCGTGATTTCCAGCTTTGGACCATTTACTCGGTACTTTCTCAAACGTTTCGCCAGCAAAGTTATTGAGAGGCGCTATCGTAAGGACAGATTTACAACTTATCAAGATCACACTTGAAGGCTATCTCCTTGACTAATTTTCTGTTCAACTGTTTTTTGCAACACTCCTCGCTTCTATTCTTTTTATTTATCGCATCTTATTCTCTCAACATAACTTCGTGTGGCCAATCCATTTATTCACACAAATCTGTGCTTTCGTTTTCTCCAATGTAGTCTAAGAGTATGTCGCTACAATTGGGTTTAGTGGAGTGTAATCTTTGCTACTGGTGCTAGGTGTCCGTTGCAGGGCTTATTATCAGCCTTACGGAGTTATTCTGTCTCGGTCTGTTTTTTTTGTTCATTAAGCCTTGATGACCCGAGGCATTAGGCTTTTTCATCTATTTTCTTTCTGACAGGTATCGTGTATAGACGTTAACACACACTGCACCAATATGTAAGAGAATTAGGCAAACTATTCTATATCCATCTATGCTTATACATTTAAGTTTTTATGTTGAATATATATAAGAGGTAAGTTAGAGTCTTGACCTAGTGTTTACTTGAGTTCCAAGAATGAGTTCCAGTTCTGATGATCTCCTTAAAGTGATAGACTAAAGCTCAACCCATTTCAATCCAATACGAGGGAGGATCTTTTGTGGATTCCATCAAACCGAACGTCGTATTTAAGCCAAACGGGTGCAATAAATCAAGAATCAACCATCGTCTTCTGATGAGGTCAACCTACTTTCGCACGAAATAAAAGTCTCCATAATAGCTCAATCACAACAAAAAATATGCTTTAATAAATACAGCTTTCAAGACTAAATAGCTCTAAGGATTTTAAGAGAAGTTAGCAATTTAGAATGAGAAGTAAGGGCATATTCTTTACCTTTTTTGTTCTAATTTTTGAATTTATTTAGTAAAGCTCTAAAAACTAGGTTGCGGTGTGCTCTTAATTTAGATATTTTTTATATTACGGATCCCATTTGCACGGTATTCTCTAGTGTAATGCTAGTTTGTCTTTTTTTCTATAAATGCCACTGAGCTTGCTCTATTTCATTTTAGCTTTATTATTTGCATTATTTGATGAATCAAATCAATTTTTGAACAAGGTCGGATGCATTTTAGCTATTATTCTAAATTTTTCATCGCATTTTGTTCATTCTTTTTCAGTTGGCATTCCTATGATCAAATGGTCTGGGACAGAGGGTGACTACAATGTCCTAGTCCTTCAACTGCTTGGTCCCAGTCTTGAAGATCTATTTAACTTTTGTGGACGTAGGTTTAAGCTTAAGACCGTTCTTTTGCTGGCTGATCAGATAATTGCACGTGTCGAGTACATTCATTCGAGGAATTTTCTTCATCGGTCAGTGTACTTTTAAATTTCCATCCTTCATTTTACTGGGGCCTTTAATAGTATTATGAGCATTTTTTATTAATTAAAAAAAAAGATTATTACAACTAGACATTGAAGGATAGCTTAACTATACTCCTGTTTTCACAACGTGATTTGTAATTTAGCGCATTATCTTTCATAATTATGCTTTCAACACCAAATTAGCTGGATTGGAAATTGCTCATGAAAAAACCTTTAGTTTTCTTATGATAATTCCCCTTAAACAATAGGCTTAATGTGAAACTTTTTGATTTTATTACAGTAAAGAAGATTTAATTTATAATCACTTACATTCAGTCGTGGTCAAACTAGGCTTCATAATGTGAAGGAGTAATCATTGTTAGTATTAAATAGATAACAAGATTTATTTTATATTTAGATATTCATTTATGCCATATTAAATCCACCACAAGTTTCCTGGCTTTTGAGGATATATTCGTTTCAACATTAGACTATTTGCACATTTTAATCATAGGCATAATGGACGTTATACATTGTAGTTGGTTGACCTTGTTTTCGCAGAAAGACATATAGGATCGCACTTTGTCCGGAGTCCATTAGTATGCATGATAATCTCCAGGGTTGGACCGTGGGCTTGGTACATTACCAGACGTTTCGCCGGCATCGTCAGTGAGTCTTAACATTCTCAACCCCAAACTATAACTCGTTAAAGAGACCAACTTTGTTGTGCCATGCAAGACTCACTGAAGATGCCGGAGAAACGTCTGAGAATGTACCAAGTCCGCGATCCTACTAGGGATTATCATGCATACTACGGACTCCGGACAAGGTGTACTCCTGTAGATCCTCCTGCCAATATGATCAAGTTGCGAAAACACTGTAAAGCAACTACTATACATCGAGAAGAGACTGTGATCAAAATAAAGGCCACGACATAGTATATAACGGTTTCACTTAAGTTATTTAGATGTCTATTGCTAATTTGCTACCTCAATTAAGCCATTTAATTACCTTAGACCTTTTCCTAATCATGTAAATTTTAAAAATGTTTGTGGAATTTGGCACTGATATTGGTTTTATACGATTCTTCCCATTCCAGCTTTTCATAATCTTTCTTTACATGTGCTGAAAGCCGGGCTAACACACAAATGATAACCAAAAATGTATTTATATACTCTAAGCGTTGATTATCATCATGTATT